GAAACATGTCGTTCATAAGTTTTAATTATTAATTTAATTTCATTGCTGCTAGTGCAAAATAAAAATTCCGAACGGTCTAAACGGGTTTCTGTAACCTACATTGCTAGAAACGTTTAGGCCTATCGATGTAAGACCTAACATCTACTTATCGGGTACTGCACTACATTTAGTGATAAAAATATGGTCTTCGGAGCGCTTATATTTTGTAGAAAGTGGCTTATAAAAATGATCCGCAATAATTCCTTATATCACATTAGCTAATATTTAGATAAAAGGTATCCGAGTATCGATAAAAGAAAAAAACCAAATAACAAATCGTAAATCTTTTAACACAAAGCTAATTCTCCAAGTGGATACACAAAGACTTGGTATCCTTGGTTTTATGTTGTATTGAGGATCGTTTTAAGTTTCTTTCTATTTCATTTCTCACGAAGTGCATTTATGGTAAATATAAGTTTCCAATTTTCAACCATATTAAAATTAATCTTAGACGTTATAATTTAATTGATATCAATTTTATTCATAATTTTGCTAGGACTGATTGTTTCAAAAATTCTATCTGTAATTATTTTCCCCGTCTTTGGAATGATTTGCCGACTAATGTGCGTGATAAACTTATTTTAAATTTTAAATATTTTTTTAAAGCCTTGAAAGATTATTTTAAGGGCTTATTTTGATATTTATATTCATATATATTTATATATATTGTGTCTGTTTTTCTCTGTCTTTTTGTTAGGTAATCCATTTGACAGTTGATTTAGTTCTCTTTTTGAATTTCCTGTCTCTCCGTCTTTTTTGTGTATGATATTTTATGTGAATTGTATTTTCGAGACGAATAAATGAATTGAAATGAAATGAGACGAAACCCCAAGACCATCCCCGAAATTTCTCTCCTCAAAGTGGTGTCGAATTGGAGGGCGAACTGTACTGAAGATTTATTAATATAGATTTTGGAAAGATAATTTAGTGCATCACTAAAAATATCACAAATATACATATCAGATGAATTATTAGTTAAATTATCATTCATGATGTGTCATAGAGTCATTATAGATGACAACATCATTGCCAACATTACAAAAAAATATTTAATGTAGGCTCTTGTTACCAATGTTTTTATCATTGCCAACATTTAAAAAAGACGTTTAATGTAGGCTATGTTAGCACTGTCGTTATCCTGTGTTTACATTGTTATTAATAGCAGACACTGAACTTGAGGTCTTCCTAGAGGTGGTAATAATTGTTTCAATATCTTCCATTTCATGATTTGAGTCTGGATTATTCTAAATTATATGAGAACGAAAATATTTTCTTTAAAGAATTTTACTTATTAGTTTATTAGGAGCTTTCCTACTTGCTTTGTATAGTATTTGGTTGTTTTCGTTTCTTAATTGTGTAACCGTTTTCTTGGGAGTAATCGTATCACGTCATAATGTTATGAGACCTGGTTTATCCACACCGGTAAGAAGTTGGATACTAACTGGAATGGAGTTTACTAGCTTAGTGGCTAAGGTGCTTGCTTTCTAATTCTAGGTTCTGGGATCAATTAATATTAAAGTGGGACGTTTTCTCACGAACGGAAACAACTCCAATCCCTAAGTCTCATAGAGAGACTTGGTTTATAAAGCATCATTCCATCATGTAAGTGGCGAGTGTACTTGCTGTTGGATGTAAAGGAAATACAAAGCATTAATTTTTATATTTACTTCAGAAAAAAAACCCCAAATAAATGTTATTATTGAAAATAGTTTTAGACTCTTTAACGTAGATAGTATTTAATTTAATAATTTATTGGCTCTCTCTTTCAAAACAGAGGAACACTCTCACGCAGGAGAGGTTCGACCATACAACAAAACAAAAGTTACAAGTAAAGATAAAATTCATAAAAAAGAGACAATAGTAATGAAAAATCCAAATGCAATTAAAATAATATTCTAAAGTTTAAAATCTCAACTAAAAGGGGAAAAAAAAGAAAGAAAAAAGAAAAAAATATATATTATAATAATAATAATAAAATAAAATAAAGTAAATAAAAATAAATAAATAAAAACAAGCACATAATATAATAAATGCAATGTGAACTTGATGTAAAAGCATACATATCAAAAACACAACAGAAGTACAGTTAATGTCTATTCATAAAATCATTATAGAAAGAGAAAAAAAACATTTATAAGCTATTAACATTATTAGCAGGGTCATTTAAAACATTTGTTCGTTTTTCCCATGCATCTTTTAGATATTCTTTAATACAAGTATTAAAAAGTAAGCCAAGAGTGGAATTTGTTGAGAAAAGATCATTAAGCAAATAATGAATTTTTAGATCTGGTGAACCATTGGAGAAATTTTCCCAATATTCATGTAAATTATTTTTAAATAGAGCAATTTTAATTTAATGGAAGGTCTTAGCCCTAATATTATAATTTCCATTTTCTATATTTATTTACACGTTGTCCTGTAATAAGAACATTGGATTTCTTGTAATTAAAATCCAGTTTCCATTTACTTGAAAAGTCACTTGCTGCTTTAAGGAGGAGATTTACTTGTATGTTGTAGATATAAAATTTAACTATATACGTCTTCACCGACTAACACTACATCATCAGTCCAAAATAAGGCTCCAATTTCAACATTAAATATAGTAACTCCAGG